TTATCGCTTATATCAACACGATTTGGTGTGATATGGGTGTGATAATCATGTGATATGAGTGTGATAATCATGTGATTATCACACAATTATCACATTATCGCTTATATCAACACGATTTGGTGTGATTTGGGTGTGATATGGGTGTGATAATCATGTGATTATCACACAATTATCACAAGGATTTCGCTCGGCTAGGGTTAACTTAAAAAATCGATTACCGATTTGGTGTGATATGGGTGTGATAATCATGCGATATCATTATCATAACAGCGCACTCGATTTGATCATGGTTTCGATCAGTTAGGGTTAGACACTTACACATTTATCACAATGATTACTCATGATTTCGATATGTTAGGATTAGACAATCACACATTTATCACAACGATTACTGGCGAAATCCACTAAACGATTTGGTGTGATATGAGTGTGATAATCATGTGATATCACTATTATAACATCACTTGCGCACTGAATTTGATCATGGTTTCGATCGGTTAGGGTTAGACAATCACATATTTATCACAACGATTACTCATAGTTTCGATAGGTTATGGTTACACTTGATTGATCATGGTTTCGATAGGTTATGGTTACACAATCACACAATTATCACAAGGGGAGAGAAAAGAGTGGAAACGAACGTGTAGAAAAAAAAGGGATAATTATGACTAATTAAAATAAAATAAAAATTATAAAAATTACATAATTACATTACTGCCTTTATTAATTTATTTATATTTAATATAAGTTAATTTATTAATTAAAAAAGTTTGAGGTTATTCGGTTGTTCTTGCATTCTCGTAAATCACAAGGGTTCTCGTTTGAACCTCCAATTATTAACATATTGTGTGTGTGTGTGTATATATATATATATATATATATATATTTTAACGGGGATCGGGGAAACCGCGGGGACCCGATGGGGATCCTCGATAAGATCCCCGACGGGGATCGGGACGGTTTTAGCTGTCGGTTTTGGGGACAGGGATACCAATACCTGGTCTGAATCCGGCCCGTTGCCATTCCTATTAAAAATATGTTTAGATTTTAATAAGTTACATTATCGTAATCGTCTCGTCAATAACTTCAAAATGAACCAAATATTGAACATCGTTTTATTTAATTATGGAACTGTAATTATATAAATATCATAAGAGTATAAAATAAAAATAAAGAAGTAAATAAATATAATAAATTTTTATAAAGATATAAAGTATAAATATTGAAAAAAATTAATATACAAATA